TGTGGAGGCCAGGATATTCGTATCTTCTTATACTTACACACGCACATACAAAGGGAGTGAAGAACATCCGACAGACGATAATTCACCGCTCTGCTCTGGATCTTTACTCTGTGGGTTATTCACCCCGACCTGAGTCGGGATGGATCTTTAGACTATGGTGGGTACCGAGAACCCAGGAAGGGTCTCAGCCGGCGCCCACTCGCAACCTTACCCTGGCCTTGACTGAGTATGCTCAACCACCGCTTGACATTCCTCGTCACATTGCACCAAAGGAAATCAGCCAGCCTTCGGTGGTAGGCATATACCACCTCGCCATTTTGGGACCTCCGCTCACACTAAGTTGAGGGTATTCATAGTTGGATCTTTTTTCTTTGCAGAATCTCTGTGCCGTCTACAGTTCCTGGTACAGTCAAGATTTCCACGGCAATGCACCAGCTGATATGTACGCTTTAGCACACTACAATGTACCAGTCGTAGACTATAGCAATATGGTCTTACACCAAGCCGTATCATGTTTGACAAAAGTTCCAACCCCTTGGAAACTACCTTTCATTTGATACGCGTACAATATAGGCACCACGGTTTGTAATGGCATCAAAAATGGATCATGATATTTCCATCCACGGATGCAGAGGTCCATGCAAAGTTGGTGTCTGAGTTTCCAGGCGTAGAACGAAGAGTTTCGGTGGCTAAGGTTGGGATCTCGATGGTCAGTTGCCAAGCGTTTGAGAGCGCTTGGTCGTGAGAATACTAGAGTAAAGGGATAGGGAACCATTTTCATGAGTGAATCATGCATCACAGAGGATTCCCGATGTGTGATCCCAGATCGGAGCCCATCAGCTAGGAAGGTAGGGCCGTGCGATAGCAAAGAGACTGCGAGCGGCAGTGAATGGAGAGGATCACGACATCATTCCCGCCCTGAAAGCCAACAGGCTCAGAGTTGCCGGACTTGGAAGCCCTTACTATTGGTACCGGAATCATACCCATATCAAACTGATGTCCCCCCTACTATCTCGACGCACGTACATAGCTTGACGCGAAACTAAGACTCGTTCGATGCTGCGTACGGCGCGTATGGTCCGCACTTGCGCCGGTACTCTCCAGCGCAACTGGTTGTGAGAACGCTGACCGGGGGCACGAAAAGCTACACCATGCCGACTTGATTATGATACCTCATTCCTTCATCAGTCATTGGAGTCAGAGACTTCATGAACGTCCACCGCTCACTGTCGGCATTCACGTCGCGTGTTGTGGCTTTTGTCGGCGCGCGTGCCCTCTCCTCTGGTGTTGCCCCATGAGGGATCCACAACGCGCCCAAAGTATGAGTGACAACTCAGTGACTACGACTACCTCACTAGTCGAATTAGCACGTGGCTCTTTGAAGAGGATTAGCGTCTACGACTGATTGTTTTCGTTGCTGCCCAGGTTTCCCCGAAACGATTCACCTATCATATCCCACGCGTTGTTGCGCTGTTCTTCTCTCTCCTTGGCTTGTTTTAGCAACAGCACTGAAATGTTTTGACAGAGAATGATTGCTGGAGAGGATGTTGCTTGGAATATATACTTTTTCTTTGTTATACCTCTTGTGAACGTTCTTGCCCGCTCTCCTGGTAAGGCCATCTCTTTTCATGTCTCGTTCTCATCCGTGTCCTCGTTTGTACCGGTAGGCGAGCGGCAAGCCCGGAGGTGAAGGCGATACGAACGGCCGCGAGAGGACGAAGACAGAAGATGACGAGGAAATTCGCAAGGCGTACGGCTTGAGGTGAACTGCGTCGAGGAAGAAGGCGTCTAACCCCAGAGTGGAGGGTAACACACGCAGGGTGCTCGCTTGTGGTGCGGCGGCAAACGATTGTCTTCTTTCTTTGCGATCAATGAGAGGACTGCGGCGAACAGCCATCCCCTTACGGCGTTGGGCATCTGATTGCAACGTGCCCAGAAACGGGAAGAGCCTTGCAACAGGAGCACGCACGTTAACACTGTCCCTGGTATCTATTTTTGATGCAAGCAAGCGCAACCGGTTTATTATTGCTTGACTTGTTTTTTTTCGACCTGGCGTACTATAGGTCTCAAGGTAACACAAGATGTGATTGTGATACTTCGTTGTTTTTTTAGGCTTTAAAACACAAGAGCCGAGTAAAAAGGTTTGGGGCAGTTGATTGTGGCACTGGGCCTCATCGGAAAGTTGTGTACCTGTGGTGTTGGTGGTTTGATCGCCACAACAAGTAGAGGCCGTCAGTGAACATGCATATTTGGTTGGGCGGTAGACTATTTTGTATTGCCAGGAGGTATTTTGAGACACTCGTGTAGAAGCAAAAACGCGCCGACACACGCATATGTCACGGTGTGCTATTTTTTGCGAAATTACGGACCATGCGGCCCAAAGGAGAGATAGCGGTACATGCAAGTGACGGGGCACTCTTAAAGGTTCATTGAACAGCCTTGATATTGCCACGTCAGTCACAACAACAACAACCGTGTTTGTCGGATAGAGCTCCGTTCGTTGTTCTGGCTCTCGCCCGAGGGAAATTGTCCGCCCTACATACTCCAGACTCTAACGAATTTCTTGTTGCCTGCCGGACCCTACACAGGGACACAAACTATGTTGTCCGTGTAGGATGTGTTTTTCTGTGCACACGATTGGGTGAGTTGACTCGATTGCGTGATTTGATTGTGCGTCGAGGGTGGTGTTTGCTGTTCTTGGGGGTCGTGTCGTTCAGCGTGCACACAACTCTTGAAGGTGCCCACAGAGAGTTGACACGATTGCGGTCGAAAGATCACAGCTGTGCGTGCGCACAAGCTTTCTGTTTGCGATCAGGTTGCCATCTCGTTTCGTGTTGCCATTCTGCATTGCCGTGCCTAACCGTTTTAGGAAGAACGATATCTTCGGGTGGAACAGATGGTGGGATTTGCGATGACGCTGTTTGTGCGCTCGGTAGAACGTTGTTGTGTAGTGGATTCAAGTCTGGAAATATTTCAAGAGGACATCAACAACGTAATAAGCCGTACTAATACCACCAAGACCCACTTGTGGGGTGTTTTCAAGTCTCCACTCCTCAAGCTGAGGGCTCGGACAAGTACGACCAGGGACAAAAAACGGTGATAATCAAAGCCAAGCGAATGTAGGATAAAGCCGGTATCTACCACATAACGGCACGAAACGCCCGGTCCTCAGTGGCCTTCTTGCAACAACACCAGAGGTCGCTGGAGGCCATGCATGACTAGACAATCAGCAGCAGTGTCGCAGATAGGGCTCCGCAACGATCGACCGCAGTTTGCAAACCGCTGTGCCTGCCCTGGTAGGAACGATGTCTCTCAGGCCTTTCGTTAGGTGTTGTGGTTAATTCCACGGCGGTTTGCAATCGATTTCTCAAGCGCGCGTTGGGGTAGATCAAGAGGCACTGCAGATCCAAAATAACCTTCGGGTCGACCAGCAAACACGCTAATACTTTATTTGGGGGGCGGAACCCATGCGACAAGACGAAAAAAAACTCTCATCTGTCTTTCCGTCTCTCTTTCTTTCAGCACCCCGATTGGCAGAACGGCAACAGGTCATTAGCGTTCTACCCCGAGAGAATTGGCCCTGCACGCGTTGGGTAAGATTAGCGTCGATCGCTGTACCTCAGTACCTCAACCTGACGCGACACAAATCTCGCATGGGACGAAAGACACCCCGAAAACTGCACTATTCCTACAAAGGGAAGCACGACAACAAACGAGCTACTACAGTACTTGTAATGCATCAAAACGAAATTGAGAACAATGATATCTACAGCAAAAGCAGAGCTAATCATACGTGTAAAACAGGAAAGACTTCGCGAACCTATGTATATATATCATGTGTTACATTGTCTCCATAAGGCCCACCGTACTTGGGGTCAGGTCTATCTGATTACTCCACCCGCCTACTTGTATCTATCTAGTCCCTTGTCCAGGACTCTCTCTCTGTGCGGCGATGGCGGGAGGAGGAAGAGTGTCAACCCGCTCCTCCACTCAGCACGGCTCTTGCTCTGCCCGCGAAGGTCAGTCATATCACCGCCAGTCCCTTCCTCTCCACCTATCTATGCACACACAGTTCTGTTCCTTCCCGGAGATGCACAAAAGAAGAAGAGACAGCAGTAGCAGTGCCTCTCCCGAACGTTTGCTCTTTAAGACACGCTCTCTCGAACGGAAACGGCAGCTAAGCCGACGACCACGGAGTCCATCTCCTTGCAAGACCCCTCCAACAGGTCATCCAGGATCTCGTTTGCAAGGCTGTGGGAACAATAAAACAGAGCGCGGGAAGAGCGGGGTTGCAGTTGGTGCGAGGGGATGAAGACATCTCCTGCTAAACTTCGGGAGAAAGGTGCGCGACGATCTGCACGATGTTCCGAACGAAGCAGAATGCGAGGGGAGTCGGTTCAAGTGCCGAGTACGTACGTGACAACAAAAACCAAGTCCTGGGCACGCACAACCCGCAATTCATTGCACCCAATCGCCGAAAGCACGGAAAACACAACCAAACCACGTAGGGTGCGTGGGCTACATACGGAAATAGGCACCCACCCTGCCGCACGGAACCGTTGGAAAACACCACGTCACCGGACAACTTGGAGCAGTGCAAGAAACAAAGAGTCTCAAGGGCGCCAACATCACGACAAAACCTCACAGTTCAACGATGCCCGCATGAAGCTCTCCCGCGGTGCCAAGAAAACCGTGTCGAGCTTGACGTTGCCTGCGCTAACGAGAAAATCACACGCCGGCAGCAACAGCAGCAGCATGGAGTTCCTCTGTCGTTTCCCAGCTAACGCCGAACGGGCCGGATGTGGAGCAAGAACGGGCATGAAAATGTCCTGAAAAGCTGTTGTACACGCCAATGGCGGAGAGGCGGTTACAAGCAGTGCGCGTTGTGCATGGGCCCCACCGACAGTTAGGAGTACATCAGCAGGAGACGTAGTGCAGAACGTCCGCGGGGACATGTGGCAGCAGCAGCAACAACAGCGATGGCAAGCGGTAGATAGTCCGGGGGTTAGAGGACACCACATTGTGAAAGGCGGCACAGGAATTGGACGCTCTCAAATTTTAGGCCTCTCCGCTACGACAAGGAGACCCACCTGGGTCATGAGCTTGTTGGCATGCCCCATCATTTTTCGACAAGCGTTATCTGAACATGCGCGTGAAAACGTAGCCCGAATGCGTTCCTGGAGAACCACGCAACACAACAAAACGCGGACCTTTACAGGTGTTCTTGCCCCTTCTTCGTCCCTAATTACCCTAGAGTAACAAACGTTCTGTCTGGAGGTTCCCCCCCTCTACCCGAGGGTTCACGGCGTGTGACAGTCGATAGAAGGCAAGCCACCTGATAAAGCTGGCGCGGTGAGATTCCACGCAGACGCCTTCGGGAGACTTAGCGCGGAGTGTGACATCCAGCCTCGGGCTCTCTCTTCTGCCGGCACCCGCCCCGGGATGCAGCATTGCCACGGCAGTATGACAGCAGCAGCAGCAGCAGCAGCAGTAGCCGGTGAAAAAAGGCCTGCTCTTGCTCCTCCCTCCTTCTCACCTCTCTCTCTCTCTCCCTCTAAATAGGTCTCTTCCTCTGTCAATGTATCGGAACACCTGTCTGTTTTTTCAAAATACAAGCGCGCGGAGGTTCGCTGAACATGGGAGCCCTGTTGGAGAACAAATCGATGTGTTACAACGAGGTGCCGAATAAACCTGGATGATGGTAGCAACAGTGTGGACCGCATACACGTTGGCACGGTTCTAGAGACGCATTTCCAAGGCGAAGTTGCCGTAGGTCCACGCAAAAAGGAGGAGCTAGACGAGCGTGGCAGGAAAGTTGTGTGTAGGGCACTCCGTATTTCGCTCAACGGCACCTTGGTCGACCTCGCCACAAGGACGGCTGCAACCGGCGACTCGATTTCCTGCCGTCATTCGCAACACCGTTCGTTCCCGTTGTATATCTTTTATGACCAACCGGCGGGAAGAAAGAGGGCGTTTTTTTTGTGCGCGTTTCTATCGGGTCAACATGATGATCCCCATCGCCGGAGATTGAGGAATAAAACAACAGCAGTCAGCGCCGTCCCGGTCCACTCATTAATGAGAAACATGAACGAACCTGAAGCAAGGCCTATTTTGCATAGGTATTGTAGACTATGGTAGCATTGAAGGCTTGGATAAATCGTCATCGTCCGCTAATAGGGCCCGGTCTTTCCAGGGACGCCCTAGATCATAGCAGCTGGGCATGCTATGCATGTCTACCTCCAAAGTTGTGGAGAGTCAACTCCCGACGGGAACGAATCTTACCTTAAAACTTCGTTGAGGAGAATCAAGGATCAGAGCTAACTTCAGCGCTGACTGCTGTGGTACCCTGATCAAGCTTGCGACGATGAACATTTGCAGATAATCTCTTTGGAGGTTGCAGGAACTTTGAACCCCAACTACAGCGTACGCTGCTGAGGAAAAAGCGGAAGCACCATCCTACGGGAAAAGCGACCCTTCGCAGGGTACCATTTAATGACCAAAAGCTGTTTCTGCTGGCTGGGGACGATCTGGATCTGGAAGGAAAGTATGAAAAAAAAGTTATTGTGTGCCTCCAACACGCACGCGTGAATGTAGCAGCACCAGATGGTGTGTACATCATGTGGCGATACCCTCCTCTTCTACACGTGGTGATCGGAAGACCCATACGGAGGATTTGCGGGATCGGGATCGGGATCGGGAAAAGTGATGACGGGTGCTACGTACTGCATTACTACAACACAAGTACTCCTACGGCTCTTTTGCAACGCGTGATTGATGCTGTCTCTTCAACATGTCTAAACAACTGGAGTACACTATTAATAATAGTGGTCCCGGAATAACGCCGGTCGAATCATGCCGGTTTCACTGTCCAATGCAGGTGAAATCGCCTGGCACCGATGAAGTATTCAAGTTGTTTCATGGATCAGTACGGACAATGAAGGTACGGGTTCGAGAGAGATCGGAACGGTATTTCATATGAAGACGACATGAACAAACAATACTCTGAAAAATGCCGGTCGCCCGCAATAATGCCGATGCAATCAGCTGGATCACACTGTCATTTTTTTTTTTTTTCTCCCATCATCGGATTCTGTCGTCTGCCCCTCTGGCCCCTATCCTCCACTTCTACTAGCTAGACGACCCAACCGGGGTCACATAGGAGGGGGGGGCTGGACCCCCTCCTGCGGTTCCTGCCTGAGGTATTTTTATCGCGAGAAGGGTACAGCAATCCCTTCCCTCGCGACTTGCGACGTCGATTATGGTTTACTAACAACGAGCTTTGCAACGCGTCGCTTTCATCCTAGACCAGGAATTATTAAGTGAGAAAAAAACTCACTCTGCCGGGACGCGAACCCATGCGAGGTTACCGACTAGACCAGCGGGGCGACCGGGCATTGTACCGGGATAACTGGTTGTGTGCGCAGAAGTGTTCACTTAAGGTGCTCATTTTCATCTCCCAGTACCTCTCATACATCTCATACACCCTACTTCGTGTGTCTCTCACTCCCTCCTCGCGTGCTCTCTCTCGCCCCCCCTTTCTCTGTTTTCTATATTTACGCGCCTCCGCTCTGCTTCTGCCTTGGATGAGATCACATGCACAAAAGATACCGCACACCCGGCGCAGACCACGGCACGCGTGTTTCGTTGCCAAGTACAGCAGTTGTATATTGCAGCACATGCTTTTGTGTCGAAAACGGTGAAGGTTGGGAAAATTCTTGAAACGGGCTAGTGGAAGGCTGGCTTCCAAAGGTCGCCAGCTTCGACAGCCGACAACCCACACCAAGCAGCCTTGAAACACAGCAGCAGTATCGGTTCGCAAAGACAGCTACATGGTGCTTTTATACATCGCACACCTCGACGATTTAGGGGTGTGGTATATTACGTAATCGTGAGGAATGCTTCCTCCGCCAACACCTACATGTAACAGCAGAGTCGGTTATACCCGCCACGCTTCGGAAAGCGGGATCACCCTATTGTTTCACCTGCTTCTCTTCTACACGTGGCGATGAATGCTTCTTGCGGCAGGCTGCTGTTGTTTTTTTCCTCCTTTCTCAAGCAAAATGCATGGGGTCGCAGAAAGTGCTGCGCTCTGTTGCTGTGCGGTGTCTGGGCTCAGCTAGCTCCAAAAAAATCTCCAGAGCCAACAGAACAATCTCTCCCCGAAAAAAAATAGTATCATCCAAGCTGTCGTCCCCCCCATCATGTCTCGCATGTGTCTCACCGTGCTCTCTGCAGTCTAAATGACCGTACACGCTCCCCCAAACCGTTCGACCGTCGCCAAAAATAAAACAACCGAGCCCACGCCCAACCTCTCGAGCCAACGGAGCGCCCAGCTTGTACCCTCGCGCTCGTACGCCGGAGTTCTCGCGCACTCGCGATGAGTAGGATGGGGCGGTGCAGCGACCGCTCCGCACACCAGCAGCGCGGTGAGTGCTCTGCCGCAAGCAAGAGCGGCCAGGCGCGCTCGCAGCAGCTCAAGAGGTGCGCCGAGACGACCACTCCGGAGGAAGCAGCCGAAGGCCGTGCCAAGCGCCACGATTCGGGAGAGGCGCGGCGCAGGAGGTAAGCTCTCGCACCTCTCGGTTTGGAGACAAGAGTTTCGGTGGTGTCTCGCTCTCTGGTGGCGTCCCCATCTTGAAGAACGGCCAAGGGTCGATGTGTCACCGGTCCGTTGGTGATTGCGCCAGAGCCCACAATGGCAGCAGACAGACAGCGCCGATGGAGGGTGTGGATGGTGCGCCTCGCCCGCCGCGGACCTCTCCCCAGCCACCAGCCTCTGTCGGCTGTTCTGACCTTGGCCCTCGTCGTCTGATCTCTCCGTTCGGGTTGCCATCATGTGTGTCAGTCTGCTGTGGATGATGATCATCATCGCATCATGTTCCCGACGCAGACATTTCCTTTGAAACTAACACAGAAAATATATATAATACCTGTTCGAGATATAACCTCATTCGAAAGGAATGTGGTGAGGTCTTTTCAGTAAGTGGACATCCTTTGTTCCTTGTCTGGCCTGACCAGAATAACTTGCCGCTGCTGGTTTTGACAAAAGCCGTGCCCGATCTTGTGTTGTTTGGGCCCCAGGGGGGAGAGAGGGACGGTGTGTTGTTGTGAGACGGCCTGACAGAGTAGCACACCCGCTCCAGGCAACCCGGCAGCCGGCTGCGCATGACACACACAACCCAGAGGGAGCCGAGGAAAAAAAAAAAAGCGCAGCTCTTCAACCTTCCTTGATCGAATGCTGATTTTCGTCAACGAAAATTCATCATGAGTTCAGAGCAGCAAAGGAACAAGCTGTGGATTTTTTTTTCTAGATCGTTCAATCGGTGATTTCCGTTTGGTATGCTGAGGCCAATGCGTGCGCCTGCGGCGGCCGCCCCCCCCCCAGTTCGCATCAAGCCCATGGAAGTACACCCTGTGCGCTGATAGCGTGCCTTCGCGCGTTGACGTGTTGATGCGCACATGGACGCCTTCATGCACTGCTGCTTTTTTGTTGTTGTGGCTGCGGGTTCTCGCGAAAAAAAATGACCGGCGGGGCGGAGAGTGTGATGCAATCGAAATACAAGTACCAGAACCGCATGTAGCTGTAGGCATCATAATGTGTCCGGCTTACGTACGACATGCTCGACAGGCCTCTCCGCTGCGCTAGCGGTGAAGCTCGTTACTTTCTCTCTTTTCAACGCCCGATAGCCCTAGTTTCTATCTCCTGGGCGTCGTTTTTTCTCGTGTGCGATGTACGCACCCGCGGCATCATCATCTCCGGTCCGCCCCGCCCCCAAGGTATGGTCTCGAAAAGAATCTAACATTTACAACCGTCTCATATTCGTCTGTTTCTTTTCGTTTGCTTTCTCTCCTTCTCGGCTTCTGAAAGGAAAAAATGAAAGAGAGTTAGCCGTGAGGTGTGCGCTCGCTACTATCGCAGCAAGCAGCAGCAGCATCTCATCTAACGCCATCCTACCTTGCTGCCCCCCCCCCCCCCCCCCCCCCCCCCCCCCCCCCCCCCCCCCCCCCCCCCC